AGCATTTGGACTTACACATGGAGTACACTGGGCAATGAGCATCTCACAAGCTAGTAGAGCATGAAAGGGCAGGGCCTTGAGAAGGGGGTAGCCCAGGGGCTCTGCCTTGCTTGAAGTTCAGAGACTGGGGCTTCTCTCTTGATGGAAGCATCCAGATTATTTCCCAATTAATCCAGCTTTTGCATTTTCTTACCCTGCTAGCCCATAAGCTCCAAGAAGGCAGGGGCTACATCTTGAGTAGACTTTGAATCTCCTTTAGCCCTTGACCTCCGTATGCAGTGCTTACTAAGTTTTTGATAGGTGAGTGAATACATTGGTGAACTTTTGCTTTGTGTACACTCCACTCCACAGACCTTGGCTTCAGAAATAGAAAAGTTATAATCTTTTCAGGGCTGACAGTGTTGCGTTATGAGTTCTGTAAGTGGGAAAGAAGGATGTGGGCTGGTTTAACAACCAGATCTCCAAAAACATGACAAACTTTTCAGTTTAATCTGTTCTGTTAATATTTTCTCCATCATTTTCTTAAGTCTAGAGGTCAACAAAACAAGAAGTCAAATCCTGGCTTGTTATATTTTGCAATTTCTGAGGCGTAAATGCTCACAATGAATATTTAACAACCGGCTCTCCAAAAACAGCAAATTTTTCAGTTTAATCTGCACTGTTAGTATTTTCTCTATCATTTTCTTTAGTACCCTAGACAATCAAGAAAACCAACAAGAAACCAAACCCTGATTTGTAGCATTTCAAATTTAATAATTGGCTCTTAACAAAGAGCCAGTAGGTGGCTTGAGCCACCTGGATGTGAGCATACCGATAGGACCTGGCAGAAGATGAAGAAAGAACCTATTCTGTGGTCCTTGGGAAGCAGCAGTTTATTGACATCTTACACAGCCTGTCCCAAAGGCTGCCTCCTGCTCAGTGTATCTGAAAAGAGGCTTCATTACTGAGTGTTAACACAAGATAGTGTGGTACAGTGGGGGGGGACCCTGGCTCTAGAGTCAGAGCACCTGACTTCAAATCCTGCCTCACACACTTGCTACCTGTGTGACCTTGAAAAATCACTTAACCTTTGTGGGCCTCAGTTTCCTCAGTTGTAAAATGAGGGGGTCTGCCAAGGTGGTCTCCTCTTGCTCTAAATCTAGAATGCTATAATTCTTGTTGAATTGGGGGCTGGAGGCCAGGTGTCTGAAGGTCACAGGACATTTTCCAGACATTTATTTCGCTCTGGAGCCTGTCCCCCTTGTCACAGCCACCTTTTCCCTTCCTCTGAGGGGACACTCTAGTAGCAGGGACATTTGCATAAGAATCAGTCCTTTGATGCTTCGGGTCTTCCTGCTGCTTTCCCACAGACTGGATTTCATCTCATCTTGGTAACACAACAATTATGTCCACAGCCACCAATTGTGATGTCAAAAGGCAGCGGTGGGATGACATTGTAGGGGGATGGAGGGGTAAGGACTCCCAAGGTCCAGGCCAGAAACAGTGTGGGCTAGAGCAGTTACGGCATGGAGGAGTGAGGGGAGAGGCAGTTGGGGCTGTGCCCACCTGCTCCCTCTGTTCTCTGGCCCCCCAGCTGAGCAGGGGGAGGGGGAGGTCTTTGGGACTGATGGTCCCCAAGAGGAAAATGCCCAAGACTTTTTTCTTTCCCCTCAGGAACTACCACCAGTAGTGTCCTTGACTGGTTGGTTCCCTTCCCCTCCTCACTCTCATTTTCTCCCCACCATCCACACAGGCCAAGCTGCATCGTTCTACCCTGCCACAACTAAGGACCAGGGGTTCATCAGCAGAACTTCTCCTTTGTCTGTCTTTTATGACTTACTGTGCTTTAAGGGCTCTCTCAACTGATCTAGCTATCCCACTCTCCAGTAGGGGAAACTGAGGTTCAGAAATGGAAGCAATTCGGCCAAAGCTGGTTCTAGAAGCCAGGGGTTCTGGATCTCAGCCAGGCAGCAATGCCCTCCTTCACTTCACCTGTGGCACTTCAGGAGACTAGAACAATCACTCTCAGGGAGGGGCCAGCTGATGTCCCAGTGGCCGAGCCCAGGACAGCCCCATCCTTAACTCCAGGACACTCTGGGATCAGCTCCTTTGTGTTACTTGACGTGGGACTTTTTTCTGCGTTGTCAGCAGAATATTTCCTTCCCCCACCTAATCCTCTTGCAGAGGTGTCTCTGGGGCCAGCAGACCAGAACAGACAGATGGGCTGCTGAAAAGCCTCCAGCTCCCATCTGCCTGAAGTACTTACTTGGCCAACCCGGGGACTCGGGAGTCAGGCATGGGAGCGGGACAGGGGGAGCTGGGAAACTGATGGAGGAGGCGAGGTGAAGGTGAGGCCTGTAAGCTGACCCTGCACGGACCCCTGACTTCCTACCACCAGGAGCCACTCCAGTTGTGCCAGCACCCTCATCCCTAGCTAGCTCTCTGTCCCCGGTGGAGGAAGGTGGATGGACCAGGGACTGAAACCTTGGATTCTCATCTGGGCCCTGCCCTGTTCATGCTGGGAAAACAGGCAGGTTGTTTACTCTCTCTGGGCCTCACTTTCTCCCCTACTGGCCAGCTACCCGTCCCATCTTGACAACAGGGAAGATGGCATACATCCTTGAGCTCAAGGCTGATGATTCAAAGAACAGTAATAATAGGGTGTCAATAATTATTGCTTAGATAAGAAGATGGTAATTAATTTTCTGTATACAACTCTCCCCAAAACAAAACAAAATACCAAGAGGCAGCTAAGTGGCATAGTGGACAGAGTGGGCCAGGAGTCAGGAAGACCTGAATTCAAATCCAGCCTCAGATACCTAGTAGCTGTGTGACCTTGGGCAAGTCATTTAACCTTTGTCTGCTTCAGAGATGGGGATGATAATAACTTTCAGAGTTTTGGTAAGGATGAAATGAAATAATAGTTGTAAAGTGCTTAGCACAGTTCTGGGCACATAGTAGGTGCTTAATAAATGTCCATTCCCTTTATCTCCCACTTCCTAACCACTGGGGAAAAAAGAAAAAAAAACCCAAACCTTTGCAAACAATATGCATAGTCAAGTAAAACAAATTCCCACATTGGTCACGTTCAGAAGGTGTCTGTCCCTGCCTACCCTCTGAACCCATTCCCTCCCTTTCTGTTTGTGAGGGTCCTCCAGAGTCATGGTTGGTCATGGTGTCATATAGTTCTAACTGAAAAAAAGGGAAAATCCTCTTCTGCTCTCTCCTTCTGATCATTTGCCTATTTAGGGGATGGGCATGACAGCTGTTATTCTCCCCATTTTATCAATGGGAAGAGTAAGGCCCAGAGAGTGAAGTGAATTGATTTACTTTGGGCCAGATGGACAATCATCGGCTGGGGCTAGATAGAGCTAGAACCCAGGTTTTCTAACTTCCAGGCCGTTCATCACCCACAGTAATGCCTTGCCCTTTCCTCCTTCACATCGATTGTATGTCCCAGAGAGGCTCTTTCCACACACTGGTGGGGTGACGGGGGCACCCACTTCCCCCACTATGAGCCACGTTTCTGATGGCCACTTGGGCTCTCTATGGAGCCCAGGGCACTGGGTGGGGGGACATGGCCCCTCACCACCTCTCCTGCCACCTCCCTTCCTCCCAGTTAGATCATTTTGTGGATTCTCACCACTTTCCCCTCATTTATTTCCCATTTCACGCCCGTCATTTTTCTCCTGGCCTGACGGGGAATAATTCTCTCCCTCTCCCCTCTCTTTTATTTTGCTGGAGGGCTTTGAAAGGTTCTAAATCAATGCGAATCAGAGAGGTCCTTGAAGGAGGTTGCAGGAGAGGGGAGGAAAAGTTGGCCCCGAATCTTACTTACAGTACAGGAATTCATCAGCACATGCAGCTGTGTGCACACACACACATACACACACACACACACACACACACACACACACACCCCACATGCATGTATGCACAGAGACATATACGAATGCACATGCATGCCTATAGTGTACATATGTAAGCATGTACGCAGTGCATGCACACATGTGAAAAGCAACAGTGAATGGGTGTGTGGGCACACAAATATACCCAACATCCCAACATACTTAACAATGAATGGGCACTGACCAGGGTACTCACAGACTGTTTAGCTACTAGACATGCCAGGTAAGTTCTGTGACCTCAGCTGGTTCTGGTGCCCTGTGGGAAGTCCAAGGATGCCAAGGCCATCTCTAGTGAGTAGCCTTGGGGAAGAACTGATGTGGCGGGGTCACTCTTTTTTCTTCCTTAGGCAATTGGGGTAAGCCCAGGGTCACACAGCTAGTAAGTGTCAAGTGTTTGGTCTGAGGCTGGATTTGAACTCAGGTCCTCCTGACTTCAGGGCTGGTGCTCTATCCATTATGCCACCTAGCTGGCCCTGGGTCACTCTTGCAGCCACTGGTATGACCTGAATCTCTGTTGAGAGGGGATTTATGGCAAATAGCTTTGGAGTAGGGATGGGGCCAGGTAGGCACCACACTTTAGGGCAAAAATATTACCTTCTGTATACTACTAATAGCCCAGGAGAGTAACCCATGGAAGAAGTCATTTGATCCTCTTCTCTCTTTCCCATCCTCCCCTACATCTGATCAGATGCCAAGTCCTGCTGACTCCACCTCCAGAACCTCTCTCCTCTACGTTCATCCTTTCTGTTCCTATCACTACTAGCCCTAATTCAGGGACTTCTCTTTTCTTATCTAAGCTATAGCAATAGGCTCTTTCTGGCCTTTCTGTCTCTGGTGTTTCCTTTTCCAATCCCTTCTTCACATCACTACCCTTGCAAACTCCCTTATGTCCTGTTCAGAAACCTTCAAGGACTCCCCCATAGGCTACCAAACTAAATACAAACTATATGTCCCGGCATCCCAGGACCTTCACAATCTGGTTCTGACTTCTCTTTCCAGCTTTATCTTACAGTATGTCCCCTTTTGTCCTCTACAGTTCAGCCACATTGGATTATTGACCTATCTGTCATCTCTGTGTTTTTCCTCTTCCTAGGACTGGAATCGACTTCATTTCTCCAACCTTACCGTGGTAACATCAGAATCTGGAGGTGTCATCTCCACTAGGTTGATGTGATAAGGAGCATCCTTCCAGGTAGGGTGGTTGTCATTGATGTCCAAGAGAGTTATGTTCACCTGAAAAGTCAAGAGGGAGAACGTGGGATGGGCCATTCTCCCAGGGGTGGCCTCCTGGGACAAATTTCTATCCAGCTATTCTCATCCTTAATATTCAGTGTTCTGTGGATTATTTCTCAGGTGGAGATACTAACAATACCCAGATCCTGATGGGTTGTTGTCCTTCATTCTCAAAGAGTACCAATATGACATCCGCTATACTGGGGTCAAGGCACAGTGTGTCCAACTATGACTGATCGGACCAATATGAGCTCAGAAGGCTCTACCACAGGTTGGGCACCAATAGTCCACATGAATGTTTGGAGACCTAGGTCCCGATTAGTGCAAATACCAAGTCCCCCAATGTAGTGGTGTGTATTCAAACTCGCACTATTCAGAAAGTTGTAAGCATGTAAAATGCAGTAAATTGGTTTTAGTCCAATGGAAATATGCCTGCAAAATTGGTACCTTACTCCACTTTGTGCAGTTCATCACCATCATTATTAGAAGTAACGATAACTTCATTCTCTTGTTCAATTGAGTTCATACAGAAACAGTTCACACACGTCACTAATCCTGTTATTATTATTATTCTTTCATATTGAATGTTCTGTATTTCATGCAATAAAAGGATAACATCATCACTTTTTATAAGTGAATAAAAAGGATTGGGGTGTAAGCTTGTTTTCTGTAGACTCATTGAAAGCATCTTGGAAATCCCAGGACCTTAAACTGTGACGTGATAAAACTGGGTCTCACCCTGTTTCTATTTGATTTTGATTCCATTCTACATAGGATGGAGGTTAAATATTGTTCTTAAATTTTTACTGCTCAATGTTGATATCCAGGCAACTTGTGGGCAACAGTTCTGTCTGTGATAATGGCATGGTTCCAGTACAGTTTTTTGTTATTATAATTATAATTATAATTATTACCATCTAATATGCCCGGAATTTCCTGATAGGTCCATTCAATGGTCTTCCAGAATGCCAATTTGCCTTCAGAGGGGCCATTTTTGCATCATTTTCATCCCCTTAATGGTTAGTTTCTTTCTAGTCATTCCAAAGCTCCTACAAATGAGGTTTGAATTGGGGTAGGCTGGAGAAAGGGTCTTTGTAGGGGACCCTTCCCTAGGAGGTTTTAACAAGAGGAAGGGCAGGTTCCTAGTACCACAGGATCCCAGACTTAGTGCTGGAAGGGACCTTCAAGGTCAGTTCTAGATCAATGCCCCCATTTGACAGGTGAAACATGATGACTTGTAGTTGTGATGTCACTAAGGGATGAACAAAGTGACCTCTGGGAAACCCATCCTCCTGAAACCCAGGGATTCTTTTTTTCCTTCCTAAAATTCTATAGCCCTGGCCAGGCAGAGAGCAAAGTAACAGGCACCAGGGAGTGATTTCTGAGCCAAAAGTGAGATGTCCAGTGTTGGCCAGTGAGAAAGGGGTGTTTTGTGCATGTGTGCATGTGTGCGTGCGTGTGTGCGGGTGTGTGTGTGTGTGTGTGTGTACATATACAGGGATGTGCATCAGAATCCCTTGAGCTTCCTGGTTGAGGTTCAATCCAAGCAATTTCCTTACTCTCTTGCTGCCATGGTAAATTATTTACAGGTTCCAAATTCCTATTACTGAGGGGCCTTCAGGTATACTGCCTACTTACTGAGGAGACCTCTGGATACACTGTAACACCTCAGAGCACCGGTGTCATGGGGCATCCACCTCAGCCACTCTGACAGGCAGGGGAAGGAGACATAGCAGTGGATGGCTGGTGGTGGTGCTAGGAAGGGGTGCATGTGAAAATGAGCTAGTGGGAGAGTTCGAAATCTATGGGAGAGCAAGGAACAACACTAGGCAATGAGGGACTGGAGAGAATCAGTAGCAGAAAGGATGTATGTGTATGTTAGAAGGGAGAAGATCACAGACAATGGACTGACGGGCATACAAAAGCAGAGGGAAAATCCCAGAGAAGAATAAAAGGGTAAGGAGCTCTAGGTGGCAATGATGTTTAGTTTGTATGTAAAGAGGCAATGGGGGAGATGGGAGCTGAGGTGAATTACAGAGGTCCTGGTTGATTTTTGGGGCGGTAACTTTTTATTTCATCGTCTTGCAGGCATTCTGGAAGACCATTGAAAATGTAACCTAACATCTGTAGAAGCTGTCACGATAAGGTTGAAAGGGAACTAGCCCTGCGTCAGGAGGCTTGAATTGTCAGTCTAGGTCTGTCACTGATTTGCTGTGCCTGGCACACAGTAGGCACTTAATAAATGTTGATTTACTATTGATTGCAGATTGCTTCATTTTTGGGGGACTCAGTTTTCTTATTTGTTAACTGAGTGGTTGGAACAGAGGATCTCAAAGGAAGGTTCTTTCTAGGTCAAATCTTTTATCATTCTTGTCAATAGCAGAAGGCAAAGAGATGAGGTAAGACTAAAAGAGGCACACTATGCCTAGCACATAGTAGGTTGCTGTTCTGCCCAAATTCAAGGAGAGCTATTCTCTCAGTGCTCCAGTGGGAAGGAGCTAGGAAGAAAGATGAAGACAAAAGGAGAACATGATTGTGGGTAGGGTGATGTGACTCAGGGGCCCTAACCTGCCTCTGGGACCTCAAATGAGAGAAGGGTAGTTCTCTTTTCTAATAACACCCTCCTTCTCTAAAGTGACACTTTAGAAAATGGAACATGGAGCTTCTGGATCTCTGATTAGGACCCTAATCAGAGTGTGCCCCTAATAGCTCTTGAGGTAGCTCTGGGGATGTTCTGTTCTGCCAAAGTAGCCCCTGGCCCTCCCTCCTGCAATCAGAGCTAAACTACACTTCAGAGAAAGGCCAGGGGGCACCCTCCCAGCTCAGAAGGGGGAGGAGGGGCAGGACTGGACTCTACCCAAACTTTGCTCCTTCTTACTCAGAGCTTAATGGAATCAGCCTCAGTGAAGGCTTGGCACTCTGGGGCTACAGTATACTGTTTGGGGTAATTTGGGGCTTGGGACCAGGTCTCTGGATGAATTATTTTGTATTCGCTTACATATATATATATATATATATAAATATATATATATATATATATATATATATATATATAATATAAAATGTATATGTGCATATGTATGCATATATGTATTTATACATGCACACACACATACACATATATTGTGCTGACTTGTTTGTGTATGTATTTCTTCCCAGTAGATTTTAAGCATCTCTGAGGGCAGGGACTGCTTTGCTTTTGTTCTTTTGTATCCCCAGAACATGGCACATGGTAGGTACCACGTAAATGCTTGCAGAATGGAATAGGATTGAATTAAACATTGCCATCTCTGCCCATCAGAGTGTTGTCTACCAGGGGGCCTGTGTCCTGGAGAGGGGAGATTTGTGGATTTCCTGAATGTCACCATGGTCACCTGAGTAAGGGCTGTGGCATCTTTTTCTTTAAAGGCAGCCCCACTCTGCACCACCAGAGGCTGCTCCTCTCTGTTTCCTGCTCTCCCCCACCTCCTAAGTAGTATCAAGGAACCAGAGAGTCTAAGAGTTGAAAGGGACCCAAGAGCTTTCCTAGTTCAGGGGTGTCAAGCTCAAATAGAACAAAAGGCACTAAACTGTACATAAGGATCCTTGTGGATCACACATTGACTTAGAAAACCTCACACTAGCATTATTTATGTTCTCTTGTGTTTTCATTTACTTTGTTAAATATTTCTAAGTTACGTCTTAATCTGGTTTGGTCTGAACTAGAGGATGTCTCGGGCAATGGCCCCAGGTTTGACATCTCTGATCCAGCCAATCTGACCACCTCTTTCCCAAGGCAGGACCCTCTCCAACAGCATTCTTGCACATAGATCTCAAATCAAGAATTCAAAGAGATCTTAGAGGTCATCTAGTCCATGCCCTCTTTTTACAGAAGAGGAAATTGAGGTCCATAGAAAATAAACTGAACAACTGGGGTCCCTGATAGAAGGTGGCTTAGTTTCTTCTTAAAAAGTTTATAGGAAATTTACCAGTTCATGTGATAACTCATGGTACAACATTTCTCCTCATTTCTATCTGAAAGCTGCCTGTTTGCACTGGATCTAATTCTGCACTCTTGAAGAGCAATGGACCCTGCTCTACAGCATACTCCAGGGGAATGAATATTGACTTTCAAGTCAGAGAACATGGGTTCAAAGCCTACTTCTGACACAGGTGCCTAGGTGATCACAGGTGAGTCAATTAATTACTCTTGGTCTCAATTTGCTCATCTGTCAAATGGGGGCATTGAGCTGGATGGCCTCTGAGGTTCCTTCTAGATTTACATTCCTCTTTCTGCTTCTTCTTTTACACTACAATTAGTCAGTCATCATTTATTGAGTACCTACTATGTGCCAGGCACTATGCTAGGTGCTGGGGATACCAAGAATGAAACATTGCCTTCTCTCCAGAAGGTCATGTTCCAATGGGCACAAGCCTTTTAGATATTTGAAGATGCCCATCATAAGCCTCCTAAGAGTTCCATCCTCTAAGCTAAACACTCTCAATTCTACCAACCATCCATTCAAGTCAGACACTCTTTAGGAGAGAAATCTACTGATGCTTGGTTAGAATGTCACATCCTTTTCTGCCATGCCCTTCTGTAGCTGGGGACCCAATTGGTTTCCCTCTTGCCAGCTGCCCACTGTTTCCACAGCTTTTTTTTGGGGGGGAGGGGGAGATTATGGGAGCCTTTAGGCAGCAAAGAAATCGGGGGGAATCTGTCCCTCATCCTTGTCTCACCAGTAAAGTTCAAGATGAGCAGATCTGGTAAAATGGCGCCGCATCTCCATCAAATGGTTGCATGCATATTTGCATGCATGTGTGTGTGCACACATGCACATGTGCATAAATTCTATTTTGTCAGCCCTCAAGGCTCTTCTGGATTCTGCCTCTTGTCAACAGGCAAATATTTCTGATGGGACTATTGCATCCTGTTCTTGGCTGGAGGTAATACAAGGAAGGGCCCCTGGCATATTCTTGCTTTCCATTGCCCCACTCATAATCAGATTCTCCAAGGATTTTGCATCTCTTGGGAGGAAATGCCTTTCCATTCCCTTCTATGGAAAGCTCTGTTTCATAGTCCATTTTCAACATTTTGTCTTCCTTACGTGAATCTGGTATTTCTCTTAGTGAAAAAAGGCAGACCTTTTGCTGTCCTCAGGCTGAGAATGGGGGTGGAACTCTCTTGATCCATCCCTTCTGGATGGGAGAATTCTAGCAATGACCTGGTTCTCTTCAATAACCTCCTCCATTCCCCTATTTTTCCTTCTGTCTGCAGAAATAGATAGCTAGAGCTTGGTTTAAGTGGCAGCTCCAAGCTTTCGGACAAGCTTGAGGGGAAAGCCATCAAGCAGCCCCAGCTGATGATGAGGGAGAGACAGGAAGGATGAGGAGCTCACAGTGGCAATGCCGGTCTTCTGATTGTGGCCAACGCCCCCATCCACTGCCCGCACAATGAGGATGTATTCTGATTTGGTTTCTCGATCCAGCAGGGATGTAGTTGTGATTTCACCTAAGAGAGAGAGGAAGGAGTGAGACCACATGCTCTTTCATACCTCTACCTCTCCAGGCCATGAAGTAAGAATCTTTATGATTCATCTCAGCTCCCTGCACGAGGAAGATCTGGGACCAAAATCTGTTATGTCTTTAAGGGACCAGTAGAAAACCCAAAGGCTGGTAAGATTATCTGAGAGGGGGAAGGAGCAAAGCCTCTTTTCTCCCTCTTGGGTATGAGCCAGGGCTCTGAGGCCATGCAATATGACCCCATGGTAAGGAGAAAGAAAATGCCCCTTGGTACAATGTTAAGAGAGCTGGATTATGAGAAAGGAGAACTAGACTTCAGATTCTGTTTTATTATTGGCTCACTATGAGAACTGGAACAAAGCAGCATCTCTGTTTATACCTTCATGAAATCACATAAATAAAATTACATAAATAATCATGAGATTACAGATTTGGAGCCAGGTGGGACCTCAGAGGTTTAGGGGTTCTTAAATAGTCCAGGGAGTCTTAACCTGGGGTCCACAGATCCCCCAACTGACCCATGGATAGATTTCAGTGGGGGTCTGTGAACTTGGATAGGAAAAGAAAAATATTTTTACTAACCTCTAATTGAAATTTAGCATTCCTTTCCATTATGAATGCCGGCAACAAACCACAGTAGCATTAACAGTACCTGTGATTTTGTTCTATTGATGAATAGAAATCACAGATATTTTCATATCATACTATAGTTGTTGCAGATATCCCAAAATATCTCTTATGCTCATCATCACTTTGAAATTACTCTAGTCATTAGACCTGCTGCTAGATATATTACTGTATCTTAAATAAATTTTTTTTGATAACTACTTCAACATAATTTATTTCCTTTATATTACTATGTATTTTATCTTATACATTTAAAAAGACTGTTTTGAGAAGGGGTTCATAGACTTTACCCGTTGGACTGTAAGCACCTTGAGAGTAGGGGATGTCTTTTACCTTTCTTTGTATCCCCAGAATTTAGTGTCTGGCATACAATAGATGCTTAGTAAATGTTTGTTGACTTGGTCAGACTGCCAAAAGTGTCCATGGCACAAAAAAGGTTAAGAATCCTTGATTTCGATTTTATAAATGAGGAAACCAGGATCCAAGGAGGCTGTGACTTGTCTAAGGCCAACCAGGGAGCAAGTATTAGAGACAGGATTTGAACTCAGGTCCTCTTATTCCAGGGCTAGTACACATTTAATTATACCATGCTAATCTTTAAAATTTCCTCCATTTCTGAAGTTCTATATTGGCTGCTGAGGGCTTTGGGACAACCAGAAGAAAGTCACTAGGTTAATAGGAGAGATGAATGAGTTCACTCTTCTCCCCCTTCCTAAGGTACTCCTTTGACCACTAAATTGGGGACTGGTATCAAGGGCCGACCATGATGAAAAGGCCAATGCAGGGAAGCTTGGCAAAGGGTTGAGCCACAGAGATGTGCTCTGTGGGTTGGGGTGGTGTCGATTAATTGGCAGGGCGAGGAAGAAATTAATCTCTAAAAAGTTTTAAATATGAACTTGTCGGCATGATGGATAGCTTCTCCTGTCTGAGAAATTAGATCCAATTAAGGCCACCTTTACGGAGCAGGCTGGCTAATTTGACCAAGGAGCTTGGAGGAAAACGTTCACATGTCTGGAGCTAAAGGAGAGATGTCAAAGCAGGAAGAAAATGGCTATATCATCATTAATACCCCCGCCCCCCCGGCTGAACTAGACTCCCTGTGTGGGGGAGAGAGAAGGAGGAGGAGAGGCTGGGGAGGGTGTATTCCCCACTCTCTGAGCAGATGAGCGTCTCTCTAACCCTTCCATAACCTTCATCATTCTAAATCCTGCTGAGATGTGCCCATGGTCAGTGCCTACATCTATAAGGAGGGGAGAAACTGTACCCATTTGTATAGAGTTAGAAAGTGAGACCCAGGCTGGTGGAGGTATTTTGGTTTCTTCTGATTTTCCTCTCCTATCAATTTTCAGCTGTGACTGGTGAGGGAAAACTCCAGGTGGAAAGGGGATCAGTTTACTCAGCTGACCCTGGTGTTGCTCTTTTTTTTTTTTTTAAGCTCATTTACCCAAGCTCCAAGGACTTCAAAGACTTCAGGGAGGGAACAGAAGAGAACTGCTGCCCCCCCAACCCTTCCCTGACCAAGTCCAGTGCCCTAATGGTGATGACTCAATATCTCACCTGCTTTAAGGAACTGCAAGATGAAGAGGGATTTGGCTGGGCAGAGGAGGCTGCAATATAGCTGATTAGCATTTTGCAGAGTGGGAAGTGGAGGTTCAGAGGGGCTGGCTGATTTGTTCAAGGCCACAGAGCTAAAAACTGTGAAAATTGGGATCGAAACCCAAGTCCCTTGAATACTGATGATTGCTCTTTCTCCTTCAGGAACATGCTACAAATTTTGGTAAATCAAACCACACTTTGGAGAACTAGTAATTTCAAGGGATGTTATGGTGAATCCTTTTATAAAATGAATCACTCTGTGGTAAAGTGAATTGGTTCTTAATTTAGTTCTTTAAATGTGGTAAAGTGAATTAGTCCTTTATTTTTATCTTTTTAAAACCATCAATTTATATTTTCCCATTTGGGAAATTGCTGACATTTTCAAGGCTCGTAAGTGGCTTGTTGTGACCAGAGCCTATCTTGTTAACATCAAATATTCTCCTGACATGACTGCCCAACTCTTTGTGATGGAACATCACCATGTCTGAAGAACCCTAATCACAGATAACTCAAAGGGTTGCCTTTGGCTGTAGCATCCTACCAATGATGACTCCTGTGAAGGCAGCAGCATGAAAGACAGAATCAGGGGTATATATGGCTCAGAAGAGAGGTGAGGTAATCATGTATTGGGAAGCAGAAAAATAAGATGGGAACAGCTTAAGAAGTACATTGGTACCCACTGAGAAATTTAAAGATGAAGGCCTCCAGAACATCGAAGTAATCCTTTCTGGAAGATTTATAATAGCTAGCATTTATATAGTCCTTTAATCCCCTCAACAATCCTAGGAAGGTAGGTGCTATTATTAGCCCCATTTTGAAGATGAGAAAACTGAGGCTAAGAGCATTTAAGTGACTTGTCCAGGATCATACAGCTATTCAGTGTCTGAGGCCAGATTTGTACTCGGGTCTTCCTGACTCCAGGTCCAGGACTCTATTCACTGTACCACCAGCTGTTCTAACTTATAGAAAGACATGAATAGTAAGTACATAGTATGGGAAAGCATGGAAGAGCTTCCACTTGTGTTGATAAAGAGTATACCTAAATGAAGTCATGGACCCATTAGGGAATTGGGTCATTTATATTTTGGATTTGGGTTTTCACATATTGGGTTTGTTTAAAATGAAACCCACTTTATCATATTTCTTGTTTTTTCAATGGGTGGGGGAGGGGCTGGAAGGAGGGAGAGAATTTGGAAGGAAAAATAAAAATAAAATTAAAAAATAATCCATCCCACTTGTGATAAGAGTTTGAAGGCATCTTTAGTGCTCAGGGATGGAGGCTGAGGTGAAGGTGGACAGAAAGGAATCACAATCAGAGAAGGAAAACAAATGGAGAGGAGTCTGGGAGAGGGAATCACCTGATCGTGCATTGATCCGAAATTGTGAAGCGCCTTCCAGAGAGTAGATAATGGACTCCTGCCCATATTCCCGGGAGCGGTCCAGGTCTGTTGCATTCAGAAACAACACAGTGGCACCTTTAAAGGGACAAAGGACAGAGGAAGCTCTATTCAACAAAAGCTCAGTTTTGGATCATGGTACCTGCCCATTAGAGGCAAGAATCGAATAGAAATCTCAAGATAAAATGACCTGCTACAGCCCATGATTCTGTCCACATGAGCTGTCCAAAGTACTTGGATACTGGCAATTATAAGTGGCTCTGTTGAGCACAACTCTAATTCTCTTGCTAGCATAATTTCAAGGAAGCCAAAATGCCAAGGACTCATGCCTTGAAGGATCATCAGTCATTTCATCTGGCTGAAGCAGGATACCTTCTCCTTCTTCCCTCTCACATACTTTGGACCATCCTGGCACACAGAAATCACTTAATGAGTGCTTGGTGTGTGTTTCCAGTTGGCACTTATAACAAACTTGATATCACCTAGCATTTTTATTTATGAATAATCTCTCTAGAATTTATATTACATTATTTACTTTATGACCCTTAATCTTATAGTTGAGTCACAATCTTTTGTTTAAAAGTAGGATTTTATGGGTTATATTTCTTCCCTTCAAGATCCATTTAAATCTATTCTCTCTTATTGACTATTTCTGCCTCCTCCAAACTATTGAAAATTTAGGGGTCTGAAAACATTTCTCACACCCTGACTTCCCTGGTCACCTAGGGAACATTCCCTAGCCCTATGTCTTAGACCCTAAGGAGGGCCTCTGATCTGCTGGGGCTGTAGCTCCCCTCTCCTCCTATCTCCCCTGACTCTGACACTTCCCTGTATTACCATACCATTTAATGAATCTCTTCCACAGTCTGCTTTTTATTAGAGTTGTTTATAGGTGAGTCCATTTTCCTCTTCCAGATTGGAAGCTCTCAGAGGGCAGGGAACATTCTTTTTTATTATTCCCACGATACCTAGCAAATGTGTCTTATACAGAGGTAAAATAAGCAAATGTTAATTAATTGAGCACCTGGAGATGCTTTGTGAATGGCTTTGCTGTGGTTGAGGAATAAAGAACAATCAGATCAAATAGTTCTGTGGTCTCCAGGGATGAGTATAGGGCCTGGGGGTGTGGAGGTTGAAGGATGGAGAGGACACCCTGGCCATTCTGGATATGTGGAATCAGGAATATCCTGTCCCTGGTCATGACTACTGTCCACTTGGGGCTGGCTTTGCTACTCAGGGAGAAAGGACAAGGATAAATCAATCCCTTGAATTCAATTTAGAAGCAAGTTTAAGTGCCCTTATAAAGACCTCTCTTTTTCCAAGCTGGCAGGATAGAAATGGGGTAGTCTGGCCTCAAGAAGTGGGCAGGGATAGGGCAGGGGATGGTGTGGAGAGGGCTGTGGCTCTAAGAAGAGGAGTCTCTATTTGGGCTTCCCAGACCACAGGCAGCAGTGACTGGGACCTGTGGGTATTACATCCACATGAGAGTATGGACATATCCAGCACTTAGTACATTGCCTGGTACATAGTAGACACTTAATAATAAATGATTATTGAATTGAATGAAATACTGACTTCCCAGACCAAAACACCCTAACCATCACTCTTCTGTTGTATTATATCTTTCTATTAGAATGTTAGCTCCTTCAGGGCAGGGATTTCTCTCTGTCTCTCTCTTTCAACATGGTGTTGAAATGTAGTAAATGCTTAATACATGTTTTTTCACTCATTCATTTATAATCATTCTTGAGGGAATGTGAGAAACCCATCTAAAAACCAGTTCTGGATAATGCCCAAAGAAGATAGGGTCTATTTGAGATACCTTGTCTCCTCCTCACCCCTACCTCACCTCGACCCCCAGACCTAATTATCACTGAACTTGCTTAGATGGCAAATAGGACCCACTTTTACCTACAGAGCAATGGTAGGTGATCCTAAGGTTTGTAATTACTCATTCTCACCTCCCTGAGTCTCCCATGCTCACTCACCCTCACTCATGCAATTCTTCCGGTCTGGAATACCCTTCTCCCTACTCCTCCATCTAAATTCTGTTCATCCTTTAGGGGACAGCTGAAGTCCTGCTTCTTCTATGAATCCATTACCTGATTATTTCTAGCCTATACACACCTACCTCTTCTTTCTAAAATTCTACTGTACTTACAGTTAGTATCACATAGTTCATCCTTGAAATTGCTTCATATTTATCTCCTTAGCAAGACTATAAGATGATTGAGGGTAGGGACCATGTCTTATGCTTAGCTATACTCTGTGCTCTCAGTGCCCAGGATTGTATTTGGCCCATAGTAGGTACCCAAATAATTGCATTGTTGATGGATTGGTTAGCTGTTAATTGACCAGTAATTCTCCCAAAAGAACAGGAAATGGGTCAGCCATCTACTCACAAGGCCTGGAGTTCCCATACCTGCCATGATGTTCTCCACGACGGTGACAGAGTAGGAGGGCTTGCTGAAGGTTGGGGGGTTGTCGTTCTCATCCTGAAGAGAAGATGACAAGGTAAGAACAATTAGCAAAGCAGCTCAGGATTCATTCACACACTAGGATAAAACCCCTGGGTTAGGGTGGCCTTGGCCTCTAAGTGCAGCTGATACGCAACAGGGCAAGAGTAGGACAGGCTCTCTCCCTTTGTTTGATTCAAAAAATACTTCTTAACTGATTACTATGTGCCAGGTGCTCTGCTAGGGTCAGCCAATGCAAAGGAAAAACCAGCCCCTGCCCTCAAGGAGCTTACATTCTGTTGGTGGGGCTGGTGAAAGAGAGAATTCACACATTGTGTAAACAAATAATTTAAGATGGTATATACAAAGAATACAAAGTAATTTCTAGAGAGAGAGGGTAGTAACAGCTGCGAAGAGAGGAGGAGGAGGACCAGGTATTCCAAAATTCTAGGGATTCCAAGAGGTAGAGGTAAGAAGGGAGTGCATCTAGACATGGGGAAAAGCAATTGAAATCCATTAAGTAATGTTATGTAAGGAGCAAAGCTAGTGGGAAACGGGAAGGGGAAGATGATTGGAGGGAGAAAAAGGGCCCATTTCTCAGACTCCTGGAGCTTGAAGGAAGCCCATTTTTCAGTTACAGGAGCACCACCTTCAGAGAAGGTCACCTCTTCAAGCTAGTCAAGGCAAGGTGACAATCATAAGCCCTCATTAGATGTCAGGCACTGTCCCAAGCTCTTGTGATACAAATACAAGAAAAGAAAGCCAGGAAAGACCATAAGGATGAGCACAGGGCAGGTATTCTTGACCTTTCTAATGTTAACAAGCTTATTTCTTCCCAGTTGAACACAAAGTCTTTTCTTTCCTGAAGCTTTTCCAGACCCATGTTGGCCTATAGTGACCTGGCCCTCCTCTGAATGCGCAACACTTAATACCTCAACACTCACTCATTTGGCTATTAATTGCCTACTGTCTTGAGAACATTCCTTCTATTCTTGTCTTTACTTCTACTTAACTTCTATACTATCATTTCATATTTCACATGCATCCATCTTGTCTCCTTTATTAGACTGTCATCTTCTGGAGGGAAGAGCCTGAGCTTAGTGGGTTTTTAATTCCTCAGCCCACCCTTTTAGCACCCAGCCCATGGAAGGACGCTATAAAGGAGGGCAGGCTATTTGGGGCTGAGCTGGATTCTCAGCTTTCCAGATTTTGGGGCAAGTATCATAAACCAGGTCTAGAATGAGAGTCAAGAATAGTATTCTCAGATGAAGAAAGTTAGGGTGGGAGTTAGGCAGGGTGAGGGGGAAGAACCCCCCCTTGCTGGGCAACAAATAAATCCTCATTTTAACTAATTTTTAAAAACTAGATGGACACT